ATTTTAATTTAATATATTATATAATATATTTATTAAAAATTTTATAAAAATAATTAAATTTAAAATTTTAGTCTTACATACAAAATATAAAAATTGATTATAAATTTATATTATATTTTCATAATTAAATTAAAATAAATATTAAAAATTATATTAAATTAAGCGTATATCAATTTTTTTTTTTCATATCTTAAAATTAAAAAAATCAGTAACTCGTTCATTCAATTACAACTTATATTCCAAAGGAAAATCACAAAGCATTTCTTGATATTATGGCACTTGGCACCATTGGTCAAAATCACTTTAGGACATACTTCTCAACATTGTTGGTGCAATTGTCGCAGAAGCAGCATGTCCAAGTACAACCATACTCCCAACTCCTACTCTGTCTCCAACTTTGAACTTGGTCACATTGACAATAAAAATAAAAATGACAACAACCATTTTACCAAATGGCCCATTTTAGCTTAACGAAGATATGAGAATTAAAAAAAGATTCTGGTGAGAAAGTCAAGATTTAAACTTAAGGGATAATAGTAGCATCAATGTGGAAAAAATATTTTTCTACCTTAATAATTAAAATAGTAACAATTAATTTAAGATAATTTTTATTAAAAAAATAACTATTATGGAGTTGAGGACAAGCTAAATAACTTCATAGGCCAATGGTTTAGTTTTTGGTGATGGAAATTAAGTTTTGGGTTGAGGGTTTATATTGTCTAATGACTCTAATTGGAACTTTTACAAAAATTGTGCTAAATAGGTTGGAGTGGCAATTTCTTGTGATCCCTGCAAGATCCTTGTTCGTAGGAATATGGGGTATTTTTTTATAACATTTTGTGAGAAATTTTACCCACATTGTGGATCCTCACAAGAATCCTGCTATTTAATGAAAATTTTTTAAAAATTATTGAATCTAACTCATTTAAATATTTAACTCATAATTAGTCTTATACAGGTCATATTCATTACTCAATCTTTATTTTAACCTAATAATAAATTCTAATTACTTTAAACTGAAGTCAACCCAGTACATTTTTTTGACCTTAATACAACTCTTTAAAAGGTTTTATTCTAAAATAATAAAATAAAAATAACTAAATTAATTTTATAATATATATAAATTAATGGGGAGAGGATGTCCCATTCCTCATAGTTACCTGGCTTTTTGTAAATAATCCCCACCCAAGCAATTTGAATAATGATAAATGGGATGAAAGTTTGAGATTAAAATTTGAGGCCAATAATGTGGCATAAGTCATGTTATTTAAAATATTAAAAAGTAAATTTTATATTATTTAATAATTGACTATTTTTGTCTTTTTTGGGACCTATGATATTGTATGTGTTAGAAACAAAAAAGAACAGAAAAGAAGGAGAAATATTTAAAGAAATGTTTATTGTTTTTTTGTTTTTATTATATATACAAAGATTCTATATATAGATTTATACATCAAATATTTTGAGGTATAAAACCAATTAGCTTAAATATATATAATCAATTACAATGTGAACATAATATATAAATTCTAATTTTCTAAAATAAATGCTAATAGTTTAACATCCCTCAGCAAACTGAAAGTGGTGGTGAGAAAACTAACTTGAGTTTGGAAAGAAGAGTTTGGAAGTGTCTAAGGAAGTGATCCTTGGTGAACAAATCTACAAGCTGATTAGTAGAACTAATGAAATCAAACGAACAATTTCCTTTGCAATATGATGACGGATAAAGTGATAATCAACATTGATATGCTTTGTGTGCTCACGAAAGACATTATTGTGAGCAATCTGTATAGTACTTTGATTATCATAATATAAATCAATAGAAGAAAGCTAAGGAATACCCATATCTTCAAGAAGTCACCATAATAAAAAAAAGTTTTGATGTGGTATCACTGAGAGCTCTATATTCAATTTTAGTACTAGAACAAGATCAAATAGTTTGTTTCTTACTGTGCTAAGAGAATTACTAAAGAAAAACAGTAACCAGTGATAGATTTGCGATTGGAAGGATCACTAACCCAATCGACATTAGAGTAAGCATGAAGCACAAGGAAGGAGTTAGTAGAAAAATGGAGTCCATGAAATAATGTTCCCTTAATAGAATGAAAAATGCGAAGTACTACTTCATAATGAGTAGCGAGAAGAGCAATCATAAATTGACTAACAATGTGAACTGCATATGCTATGTCAAGGCATGTCATGGTAAGATAAACCAAACTACCAACTAATTGTCAGTAGTGTGTAGGATTAGAAATTAGAGAGTCATCCATAGGTGTAAACTTAACATTAGTTTTAAAAGGTGTAGAGACACTCTTGCTATCATTGAGTTCAACTTTAAAAACAAGATCTAAGGCATACTTTACTTGAGAAAGAAGGTAGCCATCATTTGAAGA